CGTGCCATAATTTATCACAATTTTCGTCGCGGCTTATATAACTTGTTTCGATTTATGATGTTGAAGTACCGAGTGGACGACAATATACCGCTGGTATGGCGAGTTCCGACGCGGTCGTGTGTCGCTCAGCACTGCTTCTTCTGCAGGTCGACCAAGAACAGCTGAAAACATCGCAGCTGTGCTGTAGTATATCAGATGACCGTCATGTGAAATACGAGCAGAATCGGGTTGGTATCAGTATCGGAATGACTGCAATTCAGTCGATATTACATAATGGGCTGTGTGTAAGAAAGCTAGTTTCCCGCTGGGTTCCCCACAATTTGTCCGAAGAGCAAAAGGCGGCTCGTGCAGGAATACGCTGGAACGCTTCAACTGAGGGAAGTCAAACGCCGTTTATAATATCGTCTCAGGTGACGAATCATGGATTTATTCATACGAATTAATTGATTTTTAGGAATTCCCTAAATATCTCCGGGGCCTGATTTTCAGTACCGATGAAATTAATAGGGGACCACATGGGCAGCGCCAGCTTCCAAATAAAATCATCAAAATCCGTTCACTCACTCGAAAGTTCTGAGGTAACAAACGTAAAAAAAAAAATACAGTCGAATTGAGAAGCTCCTCTTTTTTAGATGTGGATCCCTATGGATGCGAGAGGCAGGTGAGCAAGAAATTTGGGAAGGTTTTGGAGAGGCCTACGCCGATGACGCGAATACTCCTAAACATATTTAATTACATAAAAAATGCACACCTAAATATATTATAATATATTTTAATATCCGTAAAAAAATTAAATCCTTAGTAGCAATAAATGCTATTTTTATTTTAAAATTTGTTATGAACGATGATAAAACAAAAATCGATGGCGTGCGTACTGCGTCATCACGTGTAACAAGTATCCCATTAAAATACTTATTGGATAAAGCTTTTAAAACTTTGGTTCTGAAGTTTTTTTACTCCAAAAGTTTCGTGGAAAAACTCATTTCGCTCTACTTTTTCCTCTTCAAAGTCAGTGGTTCGTATTTTTTGACATTATAATTGAGATATTTTTTTATTCTTAAGGAAAGTTGTATCATTACGAATTCATAGTACTACAGTTAGCATACGGCTGCCGCAATGCGTACGTTCCGCTGCCAGCAATAAATTAGAATTTTATTCTTTTGGAGATTACGAGAAATGAAATTCGGGGATTTCCCTGTTCGTGAGTTTTCTGGATTTAAGTCACACATATCCTCTCTGTTACTCTACATGCTCAAGGGGACTGTAGTGACTTTCCAATTAATTTTGTTTTAAAATATAACTTCTGTCAGTAGACAATGATTCTAGAATGTATGCCAGTGCTTGCTTGCTCGAAAACGTCTTATGTGGGTGGACCAACCTAATAAAAATTAAACAAACGGCAAATAAAACAAGTACAACAAACAAATTAGTACGTACAATGATATAGACAATATTATTATGATGAATTTGATTATTTATGTATGTAGATGATAAATGTAATAAAGTAGATATAAGAAATAAATTCTTACTACACAGTATAAAACAAAGTCATCTCGCTGTCTGTCTGTCCCTATAATTATATGCTTAGATCTTTAGAACTACGCGACAGATCTTGATGCGGTTTTCTTTACTAATTATAATGATTCAAGAGGTTAGCGAGTTTTATATGTATAATAAATTGCACCCGAGCGAAGCCGGGGCGGGTCGCTAGTAATATGTAAGAGACACTATTTAATTTTAATCACGAAAATAGAGAGTTTAAAGTCCATCTTTTATTTTTTTTGTACTCTTATACTGGCTTATGGTTTTTTTGAATAATAACATATAGCTTTCCATTACGACGATCTCATTACTGAAGAGTTATTACAAATAATCTAAGGTAAAATTATTTCTAAATTACAAGTGTAATAAGCAAGCTTAACCGCTTAACGTTAGTTATCTAATTTTGTCTTAAACATCAATTAGAGTTAACGTTAAGATCGAAGTTGAAAGAAAGGTTTTACTTTTCAAATCTGACGGAAATTGATTCGTTAACGTAAAACACTCTCGTTAAAAAGTACTTTCGTGGAAGTGGGCTCAGTGGAGGCCGTTGCTAATTACATTGAATTAAGTTCAAACTTTTCGATTTGTCACGCCGCGGCTGCTCTTATTTTTTGTATCTCGTAAACAAATTATACCGCAATATTTTAAGAAGTATCGAATTTCACTTATCAACATATTTTGTTCATCCACTTACAAGTTAGGTAAAATATTGGATTGCATTCAAATTTCTTTGTCGTCGAGGTTTGCGGTAGGAACGCCTTTAGTTGTAACACTTGGAAATTGCTTTCTGTTTTCCCGGCTTTTTACAAATAAAAAATTCACCTCATATTTGCAATTGGTGTATTGGGTTATGTTAATGATTTGCTAAGAAGAAAGTCTTATTAAGAAGTAAGTTTTAAATTTTAAGAATCTTGAAATTAACTTACACTTTCATCATGATGTTTACATACTGGTGTACCACTGGAGATAAAACAGAATAGCTGTTATAGATTATGATATCAAAGATATGAAGATGCATAAAATATATCCAGAATATAAACAGTAATAGTTTTTGTTTCTTTGACTTATTATGAAATCCTGAAAGTTAAGATAAAGAACAAAACGTAGACTGTGATTTTTTAATATCCATGAATCTGTTGATCGCTGACTGAGTTGTCAGAAGTTGCTTGAATATGAACTAGGAAAGGATCGCGATCTAATCAGGATTTTTATAATTTACGATCTGACATCGATAAAAGCACCCAAGATGTACAACACAGAAGTTTAAACTTTAACGATTTTGCATCATCGGAACATAATTCATTAACCACGGGAACTTTCCTTGGTTTGACCATCCGGAAACGATGGATGATTCAAAGTCGGGGAAGGGTATGTAGGTCGATCGAACGACATACTGTCGAGCGCTCTAGTTAAATAGGAAGTGTTTGAAAGCCGAGCGACACGGGACTTTCTTTTCAAATTGTAATGTATTGGAACTGAGTTAGAAATGAAAATTTAAAATTTTGAATATGATACAAACGCAGACAAGAACCGTTTTTGCTTTGAAATATATAGTGGTATTTATTTGTTGAAAATGAAACGCATCGATGCCCCTCAGCATTGCTAACTGATGATTTTGCTTTAAGCCCAGAGACTATTAAAGCTTCATCTGACGCAGAACCGGTGGGCTAGCCAGAACCCACGGGTTTTGACCCTTCGCTGTGGGTAGGGCCGCGCATGTGGAGAATCTTTGTAACGGTGTGGCGCGTGAGGTTGAGGGTGCTACGCGTGAAGTGAATCGCCACACTTTTTTCTGGATTAACGTTCTCCATTTGCGGAACCAATCATCGAGGCGGTCGGCGGCGCTTTGGAGTCGAGTGGTTACTTGACGGAGGTTGCGGTCTGAATAAAACAGCGCCGTGTTATCCGCGAAAAGCGCGAGATTGATGTGGGGGTCTTTAGGTATGTCCCTCGTGTAGAGCGTAAAGAGCAAAGGCAGGAGACTTGCGGTACGCCGGCCGTGAGGCAGCGGCTTGTGGAGAGAGTGCCCTCAACTCGATATCGAAAAGAGCGGTTCGACAGGAAGGCCCGGATGGTGTGTACGAGCCTATCTGGCACTTTGAGTGTGTACAGCTTGTAATGCAAGCCGTTGTGCCAGAACTTGTCGAATGCTTTTGCGACATCGAAGAAAAGAGCCCCTGTACTAATCTGTTTAGGGTGATTTAGTCCTTTTAGGATATGTTCCGTTAGGCAGAATAGTTGATCGGGATCATTAATACTAGACTCAACTCCTGGACTCACTGATTTGCAGAAACACGTCTTGCTACCCCTGTCAGTGCACTAAAAAGGGCAATAACTGCCACATTGTGGTTACCTATGATCGAGGTCCCAACACCACAACGTAGAACCAAAGCCCACAATCCAAATTTAAATAGAGTTGTTTATAACTTAATGTGATTACTATTATAATTTAAAGTAAGTGTAGAGTAGTGACAAATTTTAGGCAAAAATTAAGACAAAATAATGTCGGTTGATTGTTTAAGAGAATCCTTGGCGAATGTTGAATCGATTATCCCGAGAACACCTTATATAATCCGGGCCACGTGTCCGGTAATAGATTATTTAAATTAGATTAAGCCTAAATTAGGGAAAACGTGCGCACCGAAGGTATGCCGGGGGTCTGAATAATAAAGAAGGATTGATTAGACCGATTATGAAAATAAATATATCTGTACGTATATACATCATAATCAGTGTACACTGTTGATAGGAATAAAATAGGTCTGGCGAAATGTTGTTTGAACATTTGTCTCTTAATCAAGCTTTCTATAATAATTACTTTATTATTATATATTAACCTATAAGTAATTACTATAGAAAGGGACGAAAAAATAGGAACAATCTTTTTGAACTATGTTTGTAATTCAGGCCGTAGACTATTAAAGTTTCACCAAACGCAGAGTGGAACAAGCATATTCTTCTAGTTCGACTTCTTATTTACGTTCTTCAGATTGGAATAAAGGAACTGTTTGGCTCTACGGCAGTTTAAAATTTACTCATACGGTTGAAGGTGCGGGTGAGGCCCGTCGTGAAGCGAGCCGGCTGTGGTCGGTCTGTCTCTAAGAGAGTCTATCTATATACCACCGCTGCGGTTAATTACTATACTACTATGGTTTACTATATATTGTTCATGACAGCATTAATATCACTGTGGCAGGGCACTGCAGCTTCCATTGTTGCACCAATGGGCAAGCTCTTCCGGTTAAGTACCACGGCGTCCCCGAACACTGACGTGCCGTGGAAGTCGTTGTAGTTTCGCTTTTCGCCTAGTGAGTGATGTAACTTGGGCCCACTTTTTAAAGATTGTCAACACATCTGCAAGCCCTTCGGGTGCTGTAGATGTCCATGGGTGGTGGTATCCACTTTACATTAAGTGCTGCCTGCTCGCTTGACAAATTTTCACATACGAATATACTCACTTATATCTCCGGTGGAGGAGGTGTAGAGGGGTAGCATGAAGAAAATGGCAACGGCGAGCGGCGCGCCCATTCCGCCAGCCATTCGCCATTTCATCTGGAACAACAAACACAGTTTTATACCAATCTCGTAATCAGTTTTCAACCCACTTGGAAAAAGTAGGAGGTCCTCAATTCGGTGGTATGTTTGTTTGTCTGTTACCCCAGAACTCAAGGTTTTGGTTTAGCTTCCATATTGATTTTATTGATATTTGACCTTGAACTTCAGATAATTTATATTCTCTTGGAGATAAATTGGGAACTCCTCAAAATCAGATAGAAATGTATACTGAAGATGGTTTTGTTTTTTCACAACACAAATGTACTTGTGTTATAAGCAATATGTGTTCAATGAAATATATTATAATTTAAGCCTTTTATTGGCTGTAACGATTTACAACTAGTACTAGAACGTTATTAATGCTATACATATTTAGCTGCTTTATTTTACGAATTAGGTAAACCAAAGGCAAACTATACAGGTTGACATTTACGCCGGTTTAACAATAATTACGCAACCAATTGATAATGTTACAGTGATTGCGAGGGATGTCGGTTGTTTTGAGTTATTGTTAACGGCAGTGGTCAGCTTATTAGAGACTATTGTTCAGATAAGACCGTGGCTATGCGGAATAAATATTTCATCAATATGTCTTCAAAATCATACCCAGAATCAAAATAGAGTATATGCATTGTGCTCATTGTAACATGATTTCAGGCAGGTCTTAAGAACTGTGCTGTTTTAAGAAATATTTGAAGTTTACCGCAGCTTTCATGTTGACGTTACATTATCTTTTTCTGTGGAAATATTTTAGTTAACTTAAAAAAGTTACCGAACAGATAGCGCTATATAATTATTTCAGTCACCTTTTCCTAACCGGCGTTATTGAGTTTGTTAATGGTTTGAACTTTTATTATAACCCTGTTGCTATTAACACAATCCGGCGGGTCCCTGCAAAAAATTATGCGAATTCTGGGGGAATTTTGTCGGGATGCGTAATTAGTTTTTATATAACTGTTATAGCTGTTTGCACAGTTTCACTAAGCAGTTTGCGTTATGTCTAAAGTGAGGATTTATTATAACAATAAAATACGTGAAGTGTCTAGTAATGTTTTCTTCGCTTATGAATAATACTTTACTAAAAATTCAGAAGAAACTTTATAAAAATAATAAAAATGTATGTTTAAATATTGTAGCATATGTTTAATATCATCTTTATCAATATGAAGCATCATGATAAATCAATATTTATCATATTTTTTTGTGTTTTTGGAGAACCAAGGATATTGACGATTGTAAGAACGAAAGAAACACCGTTATTCACGGGCTAACAACAATTGATACGTAACAAGTGTAAAAACAATAGAATTACATAGAACATAAAATAATATTGCACAAATTAAAATACTGCATCAAAACATAATAACTGAAAACTAATTGTAGTAAAATATTCAAGCAAAGAGATTTAAACCTGACAACACGGAGTGAATTTTCGGCTTTCTAAGCATCACTGACTCTTGTTAGTATAGAACTGTTATGTTATTCTAGTTACTAGAAAGTTCGTAAAAAGGCTACACAGTTATACCAACAATTGTCTCAAGGATATACTCTCGGTGCTCTTCAGGTTATAGTTCAGAGCATTTGCGCAGTAATTAAGTACCTAATTTGATTCTTACTTTTTTGAACTACTAAACTTATGGGGTGATTTTATCCATTGGTTAACATTCTACGCAGTTGATTCAAGCTGTAATTGAACAAATACTCTGTAGCTTTATACACAACTCTCGTAATCGATTTCCTTTGCACAGAAAGTACTCACGTAGGCTGTTAGTTTAATTTTGATTTAACCAAGCGGTATGCTTACTACCTGATAACATGTTTACCAGAGTATTGAAATAATCTGCTTTCGAACTAAGCGATTTGCTATGTCATCTACGGTGGTAGGCCCACAAGCAGCCTCGGCTGTTGCACGAATGGGCAGGCCCATCCGGTTAAGTACCACGACCTCACATAAGACCAGCGTAAAGTGGAAGTATGACAAATACTTTGGCGTTTCGTATGGTGAGTGAGGTAGCCAATTTTCAAAAGGTTGTCAACGCATCTGTAACCCTCGGGTGTAAAAGATGTCCATGGGCGGCGGTATTCACTTAACATGAGGTGATCCGTCTGCCCGTTTGGTACCTTTTCGCATAAAAAAAAATATATTTTATGACATACATTATACGTACAGCAAAGGAATGGAATAACTTGCCGGCGTCTGTCTTTCCTATGGCAATGGTTCAAATAAAATAGCAAGTGTGTTCACCATTTATGGCTGCTTATAGGCTACTTACCAGCAAGTGGGATAGAGGTCAGGCACTAGGCAGTACTTTATGGGTAATTTTATAGACGACGGACATATTAACAGAGCATATGCAGAATTTGATTCTAAATTTGAATCTGGTACGTACTTGTGACATTTTTTTTACAGATTATTTTTAATTTTTCAAACATTATCGACACGTTAAGAAATTCCTGCCTTACCGTCTCAATACAATAACCTATTGACGAGAACTAAAACTTTTGGCTAAACGCATAATTACTAAACCGCTTATCAATAGGGTGATGATCCTTAATGGTATAAGGAAACAATGTTGAGTGGTATTTTTCTGGTTATTGCTTGTCAAAATAAAATATAATTTTTTTTTATTATGGAATGCTCAATTAACATTATGCCAAAGGATTCTTTCCATATAAAATTCTTTACATTCGAATAGAACTTGGCGTCTACAAGACTAGAGTAAATATTTACCACGTAACACTGCATTCCAGTTTATCATCAAATGATACTGTCTGAAACCAAACGCCAAGAGAGGCCCTTCATATAACTTACTATGAATCAACCAAACCCTCCTTTTAAACACAACACAGTCTAATGTAAGCTTACTGTCGTATTGTAACCGATTCCTGGGAATAATAGTAAGGAAACAGCAGTCGGTTACAGATGTTCTCCACTGGGAAATACGGTGCGGTCGACGAAGTTCCTTAGCTGTCCAAACTGTCTTGAATGACAACAGCACTTCATTTATGGCTGACTTGAGAAGCCACGGCTAGTAATATACATAATACACATGCTTATTACGATTTCTAAAATATTTTACAAGCATTTCAGTATTTTTAATTGAATACGATGTAGTTGAATATTAGTCCTAATTTCTTAAGTTAAACATGATATACACGAACATATTAAAATTATATTAAATGTTACTATGAATACTTGCGAACTCCGTAGTAAACCACAAAGGAAAGCACTTTATAAAATTTGTGGTTAAATTCTTATACTCTTTGGGAAGAAGTATTTTTACGGTATCGTACCGAGCGATTAATGTCTTTAATAGGTAAGACTTTCCTAAAACAGCTTTCGACACATTTTCATTTTTTGATGCATTTTTGACAGTGTAATTGAGGAATCATTGATGCTTTTACTATAGGAATCCATGCAATTTTAGTTCTCAGCCATTTAACATTAACTCTTTTCTTGCCTAGTTAACTGATTACTAAAAGCCATATAAAGTCAAGGGTAACTGCAAAGACTGCAATCTATTTAAATCTCTATTATATTTAATAAAGTTAAATGGTGTTAGAACTCGGCTAAAGCTATTACACGAACTATTTATCTACTGCAAAGTTGTAGCTTCCTTAATTTAATTACTCCGTTTTAACTCGCACTTGTTGTTTAAACAGACGTGGAAGATCGATAGTTGTCCGTCACAAAGGACGGTCTTGACAAACAGTCCCCTTATTACAGAGACGACAGTTTGACGCATGCTGATAAATGAAATTAGAGCAAGACAATCGTCGTTGTCTATTAAGCGATAAAGCTAATTCAAAGACAATATTGATTTTATTTTCCAACAAAAAAGTAAGTGAGAGTCAGTCTTTTATAATTTGTTCAAAAGATTCCATATACGTAGTTTCAAATTTAAAAAAAAGTTTGTGTGTACTTACGTACGCACGTAAGAAGTTATACATGTTTATCGTAAATAAATTGATAACAATTGATAACGGTTTATTTTAATAACTTGGGAATTGGAAAAGGAATAATTGGAAAATGACAAAAAGTTGTTATTGGTTGGCAAGATGAAATTGGTTACCAAGCATCATGTCGCTTTTTAAGGGTCGGTGTGCACACGCATCGTTAAAATATTGCTCTCAAATGTTTTTCGCAAACGCGCCAATAGAAGTATAATATCATAAATGAAGAAGTAAATTTATTATATTTAATATGGGTACTGATAAATATAATAAGGATTCATGATGAAAATTAAATTTTGCAAAACAACAACTGAGAATTAATAATTTAAAGACACTAATTCCATCCACCTGTTTAAATAATTACGGTAGCATTCTAATCTATAAAATACTTATGATTTTTTTCACGTTAAGTAAAATAGATAGGTATTCAGTTGGTCTCTTAAAATCTTACAGCTTAATCTCTAATATAAATTATTTAATATTAGATTATTTAAGAATAAGTATTTTTAATTATTAATGTGCGTGTATTTTTTTTTAATTATCCACCCTTTAAAAAACAAAGTAACCACTGTATAAGCGCGTGGAATTAGTTAAATGAACTAAAAACCTTTTACGCTCATTCAGCAAAATCCGGTATAACAGGTAAGACTGGACTGTAACTTAATTGAAATGGTTTAGGCTATTTACAAGATATAATAGGATTTTGTAGATGATACTGTTAATGCCGAATTTGTGTCGAAAACAATTTAACAGACAACTGTATTAAAGATTTAATTCGACTAACAAATCCACGTGTTTCGTATCGTTTGTATGTATGTATGTACATTAGAAGAAAAAATTATTATAGTTATTTAGCCGTAATGAGAAAGATGGATGAATCGTCCAAATTTTTCCTTTCGTAACTCTAAATGAATTTAATATTTATATTCAAATATACTGTACTCCTATCAGAAACGTACCTAACTGAAGTAAATGCTTGCTCAAATGTCTGGAATAAACTCATTTACGCAACAACGCTCCAGCTCTCGTCT